CTTGGTGTGATGCCAGCCTCTAACTGGCTGACATGAGCAGTTTTTTAAAGGGGAGACCCTCTTGATGGCTTCACGTTATCACGGGGTGGGATGGGGACAGTCACTGTTGACAGCCAGCCTGTGCCGGGTGTTTCCCAGCAGCTCTGTGGGATATTATTCCAGCCAAGGATGGCCGTGCCCTAAGGTTAAGGAACCTGCTTGAGGTCCCAGAGCTGGAATTGAGATTGACAATCTCGAACCGGGTGACTGTAAAGCCCAGGCACCCTCTGTGCCCCCTGCCTTCTCTCAGCCACTCCCTCCAGAGGTAACCAGAGGTAATTCCCTACTGCCCAGGCAGAGGGCTGGGGCTGGAAGGGGTCTAGATGGTCACTTAGTGGTTCCCCAAGCTGAGTGCTGATCGAAATCGTCTGGGAGAACTTTAAAAAGAAAAAGAAGACTTGAATCAGTGCGTGCTGGGGTGGTGTCTACGGATGGGTATTTTCAAACATTTCCCGGGTGATTCTGATCATCAGTCCCTGCTCTGATCCTCCCTTTCATTTTCCAGCCAAGGACACTGGGGACCAGAGAGATGAGATGCCATGGCCAAGGCCACTGGGCTGTAGCCAGAGCCAGCATCAGGTCCAAAGTGCAATCTCAGTAGCCAGTTCTCCGTGCTCTGTGTTTGCTCAGACTGCCACCCCTGCTCAGCAGGGCTCTGGAACCCAAGGAAGGCCTTTGACCCTAGGCTGGGCTTGCAAAACCTTGGTAGGACCTTGCCCTAGGCTGGAAACCTCAGGGCTCCAGTCAGGGCTCATCCCCAAGAAGATGCACTGCCATTCCCAAGGTATGGGAGCCTCTCCCCTGAAGGGCACTGCCTGGAGCCACCTCTTGTTCACAGGCCCACGTTAGTCCCCCCGGGACAGGTTGCCTCTGCTCCACATGTGGTTCTGCAGATCACACCTAGGTTTGAGAAATGCAGTGACACGTGAGGTCCAAATTAAAGGTGATGGCAAGGATGGCTAAGTCCAAGAAATTGTGGCTCCTATTTAGGGGCGGTGGGCTAAGAGACAAGACACAGTCCCCTTTCACCCTGGTGGGAATGAGAGACAAGACACAGTACCCTTTCACCCCAGTGGGTATTCTAAGTTGAGTTTGTTTGTTCATCAGTCATTCATTCAACAAATATTTATTGGGCTCCCAATAAATCATCTTACTGGTCCTTGGAGATCTGCTGTGAACAAGACAAACACAACCCACCTCTGTGGCCTGCACAACCCTGGAAGGTCACACACTAGAACCCTATCACTTGGCTTCTCCATGAATCCCATCATGTAGCCCCTCGACAGGGGACTTTTGTGTTATTACTGACAATAATGATGGTTTTAGACACGTATTATCCCATTTAATTTTCCCAACCATTCTCTCAAGTGGGGAAACTCAAACTTAGAGAGTTTTATGACCTTGCCCAGGGTCACACCATGAGTGATGGAATCTGAATTCAGCCCCAGTTCTCTCTGATTCAAAGCTGGGGTTCTTGACAGCCACATTGTACCACCTGGTACCCTCGCTTTTTGTCAGGGGCAAGTATAAGAAGAAGCCAGGTGACATGCTGACATGCGAAGCTTTATTTGCTCTAAAACTTGAGCGATTTCATGTGTCGTAAAGGAGGAGTTTTGTCTCTTCCTTCCCAGCATGAGCACTTGGCGTGGTGTGTACTTCATTTGGTCTGGCCAACAGGCCACTCGGGAGCTGAATGAGGGGTTGTGACCGTGACCTGGGTATTCTCTTGGTTCAGATACCTTCTTGGTTGGCACATTCCCTTGCTTGTCCTTCCCTTGGTCTTTCTTGCTTATAATGTATCCCTTTTTAAATTCTTACTTGTTTTTTTTTAAGACAGGATCTCGTCTGTCACCCAGGCTAGAGTACAGTGGCACAAACATAGCTTACTGCAGCCTCAAACTCCTGGGCTCAAGCAATTCTCCCACCTTAGCCTCCCAAATAGCCAAGACTACAGAGGTGTGCTACCATGCCTGGCTAATTTCTCTTTTTTTTTGTTGAAATGAGGTCTCATTATATTGTCCAGGTTGGTCTCAAACTCCTGGCCTCAAGCGATCCTCCTACCTTGGCCTCCCAAAGTGCCAGGATTACAGGTGTGAGCCATCACACCTAGCCTAATGTATCATCTTATTAAATCAGATCAAATCCTTTTTGAAACAACTTAAAATTGAAATCACTTTAAAAAACCAAAGGGTGCAGGGCCACCCTCCCCAGGACCCTGGGGCCCAGGTGTCTTGGCAGCTGCCTTGGACTGGGCCAGAAGTTGTTTTCACCACTCTGTGGTAGGAAAAAGGGAGCAGAGTAGCGAGTTTTCAATAAAGCTAAATATGGCCGAGTGCAGAGGCTCACGCCTGTAATCCCAGCACTTTGGGAGGCCGAGGCAAGTGGATCTCGAGGTCACGAGTTTGAGACCAGCCTGGCCAACACAGTGAAACCCCATCTCTACTAAAAATATAAAAAATTAGCTGGGCATGGTGGAGGGTGCCTGTAATCCTAGCTACTCAGGAGGCTGAGGCAGGAGAATCGCTTGAACCTGGGAGGTGGAGGTTGCAGTGAGCTAAGATGGCACCACTGCGCTCCAGCCTGGGCAACAGTGTGAGACTCCGTATCAAAGAAAAAAATAAAAAATAAAGCTAAATCTAATTTAAGGTACCATTTTATAATCAGAGGTAGTCTTCCTTTTTTTTTTTTTTGAGACGGAGTTTCGCTCCGTCGCCCAGGTTGAAGTGCAGTGGCGCAATCTTGGCTCGTTGCAAGCTCCGCCTCCCGGGTTCACGCCATTCTCCTGCCTCAGCCTCCCGACTACAGGTGC